TGCGCCATAGGAAGACGAGATTGACCACTAACCTGCTACAACCCAGGCGATAAAAGACAAAAAGTGTCATCTAAGTTTATCTCGGTTTAAAATAATCTCTTGTGATATTAATGAGTCACATAATAATTGATGAACACTCAATTTCCTCTTTTTGTTAATTTATCTTGTGTAATTTTGCGGCCGGGACGTCGTGGCTACCTCTTGGCCAGCGTGTTCGCTTTCCAATATGCGGCCCCGGGTTCGATTCCCGGTCAGGCAAGATTATAGTGGGCGTTTACCTTGCAATATCCCAGTATATGTTGCTGTGTGACGGTGGGAAAAGTTTTCGGGTTGAGAAGACCGGAATACGGCGTGGGGATGTCTACGTGCTAACCACACGTCCCCCCTTAACGCATGGCCGCGAGGCAGGGACGTCGCCGGTAGGCCTGAGCCCGTTCACGATCTGTCGCGCCAAATACATACATGCATACATACATAATGTGGCGGCCGACCTGGATGGCCGAGATGGCTAGAGCGAGTGCCGATTCATTGCCTCAGTCTTTTGGGCCGCGGTGGGACTAGAGTCCCGCCGTGAGCGTGGTTGTTTGTCCCTTGCCTTTCACGTATGTATGTTGTCGCGAAAGACCTTGTGAGTCTGCTAACCACAGATCGAGGAGCCCGCAAGTGTGTCGTTGCCTAGAGTAAATGTTAATTAGTGTCCCCATGAGAGACACAGTAGTTACCCGGCGCTTATAGTCGAAATTGGTAGGCCCTGAAGCTGGAAAGAGTCTGGAAGAGAAAAAAGTACGTAGTATAAACTGGCGGATAGGCACAATTATGGATTAACACTGCAAACTTCTGGAATGAATTCGTTGAACCCTAAGGTCATAATAGCCAAACATTATTCTGTCTGTAACGCCATTGTCCATTGAAAACAATTTCGCGCTCACTCCCAAAGACGTTTTTTAATTTTAGGTCATTACTACAGGTTGGTCTAAAATAGTGCTTCTAGCAAGCTAACTGATTTAATAATTCAATTTGAATGGAATTAAGGATTACTTTCGCAATGAAACCAAATATGTTGTCATGTTTTATTACGAATTTTTTATTTATTTATGACAGCTCGATTTTTTAATTATTTATTTAACAAATTTATATAAAAAATACCTGTATTTCTTTACGGCGATCCTTTGTAGTTTCCAGCAAACAAAGGCGTTACAGACAGACCAATGTTCTTCTGTTAAGAGCTTTGCGTTCACATAATTCATTCCAGAAGTTTTCAGCGTTACCCAATAATTGAGCCCGTCCGCCAATTTCAGTAAATAACTTTACGAGATGATGAGATAATTCAGAGATAACTATTTTCTATGTGACTTATATCAGATTATTTTTAAACTAAGATAAACTTATCAACATTTTTATCACCTACATTGTAAAGAATGGTTAAAATAATATGTATGTAACACTATAATATTTTGGACCGAATTCTACTATCATACCACTGCAGATACCACTTCAGAAATATACTGCTTCTGTCGGTTACTCTGGCAAAAAAATCCTTCCTCCAACCTAGACTTTCAATCATTTTTTCCTCCTATATTTTTCATACATAATGAACAATAAGTTTTTAGGTAAGTTGAAGAATCAATTAACATAAAAACAAAGTAAGGTTACAAGTGATACATGGTCACCAACGTTTACCTTTTGTGTCTTATGAACAGAGACCAGATTTTATGCAAGCGGTTTTTGAAAACATATTCAGTAGCACAAGTATATACAGTTTTCTTTTCTTCTCAAATATGCATGACAAATGGAGGTTTGTGCCGAATTATTTGCAAATATACAGGAAATAAAACTTCAAGAAAAATGGATTAAAAATGAAAACAAGCATATTAATAATTTTACTATGTAGTACATTTATTATTAAATATTTAATACTACTTTTAACGCTAGGTTGTTGATGTCATTACCATACAGTAGCATTTGCGAAACATTTTACCACATGTTTTTCAAAATTGTCAACAAAAAAATTACTTCTATTATCTGTATACATATGTCGGTAAACTGAAAATGTTCTTTCAACATTATCGATGTTATTGGGCAATTTTTAAAGCGTGCCATTAAAGAATTAGATTAGACCATCAACAATTTATCTTGGACGAACCTTCTTCTTGTTGCAACCTACTTGAATTTACGCATTGTTCTTGTTACAAGATATGAGTAGACGGAATTTTCTGGTTTTGTCATTTCTCGAAGGCATTATTGATATCCCAAGAATGGAACTAACGAAAACGACTTACTTCATAAAAATCTCCCCTGCAATTTATGAGTGCAATTTCTTTAAGTAGTAGTAATACGCTAATAAACTCGTATGACAGATTTTTGAAAATATGCAATTGTTTCAAAACTATGTACAATATGCATGCATATTGCATTATTATATGATTATATACAACTTGCATATAATCCGGACTCTTCTTATGAAGCAGAAGTTCAAACCTGGTCTTTTTAAAAGCAAATTTGTGCCCATAATCCTTTTTGCTTTAATGTTAAAATACATATTTATTTCTAAAAATCGGGTCTTTAAAAAACGTATTAATGTACAAAATGTGAATGAATATATGGTTATGCGAGATATGCTGTCTTTTCAGCTGAAAAGAATGTATTGAAATTAAGACCATACATTGAGGTTTATGCTTTGCCATATCTATATACTTTCCTTCCATCAACCACGAATTAAGATAATTCACGATAAAAATGCTTCTTCATACACTTTGATAAAATTCACAATCTATTTAAAAATTATAATGATGTATCATATTTTATTTAAAAGATGGAAAGCTTTTATTGAATCATAACGCAATTTATTATAACAGTACATAATTATTTTAAAACACATCACCGCACAAATTTATTATTAATTTGGTCGTCTAAACAGAGAGATAAAATCGCAGTATATTTCAGAAAGAACTAACGCGAACAATTTTATTTCCTTAAGAGGAACATGAAATTATGATATATTATTGGTCAAAAATTGTTATTTGAATTTGTAAGAGAATATTACTGTACGAGTACATGCCACGGGAAACCCAAAGGACAATGGAACTCCAGATATGAGAACTATTTTCACATTATCAAGATAAACGCCCCCATTACTTATGTCACAATTACATCACCAACAGTTTAATTATGCACTAATCTGTATTATACATTAGTGATATATTTGTAACACGATTTCTCAGAAAATATTCTACAATGGACTGCTGTTTGAACGGTAAGGTTGGTAGTACAGCACCATTTGTAATAATTTGTAGTGGGAATGTTGACACAATCACCACCATCTTAGAAATTACACTAAACTGAAACACTTCAAGCATGCTCATTAGAATTTTCGAGTACACTTAAGTCATTTTAATTCGCCATAATTAACACTGTAATATTTTCTATAACTCCTTACAATGAGAAGAAAATAACGTAGATTGACACGAAAAAGTTATGTTGTAATGAGCTAAATGACTCTTCTCTCCACAGTTTTATTGTAAGTTTCATTGTGAAGAATTGAATTTACGAGATTCTTCTTTTTCTTGTAAAAGGGCCGTAATGATTTTTTTAGAACTTCTGAAAAATGGAGATATTAGTGTTTAATCGTATACCTCATCCCATCATTCTAAGTTCTTACGGTTTGAATATAACAATTCCGTTTCACCTGAAGATCTGTGATTAAGATTTTTAAGCAGTTTCAATCATTATTTTAATTAAGGAAGATGATTTATTTACACCACATTGACCAATAGAACGTTTCAACCTTTTAATAAAAAACACTCCATCCTAGATTTTCCTTACCTCCGTCCCCATAGTATAAAGGCAAATACAGTTCATTTTTCGGTAAATCTATTATATCTAAAAGCAAGTCAGATTTATCTAATGGTAATGTTAAAAGGTTCGTACATCTGTTGTCTTGTCCAATCGTTTGGAGAGCAGTCAGGTTTTATGGTCTCTGTCAGATGAGCCTCTACTAAAAAGCTTCTTGGGGCGAGTCTTTAAGCCGAAGAAAAAAGGTTTCCCATAAATCCCATCTTACAAAAGAGGGCCGAAGGTTCCGGGAAAGATAAGAGTCAAGTTTCGTTTCTCACAGCCTCGATCCTCCTCTTCTTTTTCTTTTACGTGAATAAAGAGCCCTCTTTCATTTTGAATTGACGCAGGAGAGCTTAAAAAATCTTATAATCAATATTCCCCGGTGGAAAACCGCCACGCTTGATTTATTGTGTAGATCTGCAAATTAACCTTAATTAAGGGTTTTTCAGCTAGCTCAATTAGTTCCATTTCATTTCAAGTACTCAAGAATATTTCTTTGTCACGTTAAATTTTGACAATGATATTTGGTGTATTGTTATTAAATAATAGTGTAAATGTAATATTGAATTGCAAATAATTACCTATATTACTATGTAGAACTTTCTACTGTGTAGAAGATAAAATATGTAATCTTGAAAGATCGCGTTCTCTTAAAGTTACCAGATCTGAAGAGATTTAATGTAATTCGTACATTCATAATGCAAAAGAAAATGTTTAATTAATGATTATAGTTTTTAAGTAAAATATGATGAATATATTTATTAAATTGGCAGTCCTTCACATATCATTCAATTTTATAAGTGTCGTGAATAATACATTTTTATATTTATAAGTTAATTTTTATCCCGTAAAATCATAATTTCTCCATCAGAAAAAGGACATGTTAACGCACACTCAAATAACAAAATGAAGGAGTGAATGAAACATTACTGGCAGATAACTTTATTATTACAAGTTCAAATCAAGTAGCCCACATTATAGATTTAGAGTGTTAAAGAATACTGCATCTATAAGACCCCGTCGCCTTGAAAATTTAGTGGGTATCCCATCGCCAGAGAATACGAAGTTATAATAAATCTTCAGAACTGCTAGTTTTCTCTGAGAGAGAGAAAGAAAGCAGTCTTAATTCGGTCCAGGGCGCTTCAACTCGCTTAAAACGAATTGGAATGTGTCCTCTCTCTCTCGCAGCGTCGTCGGAAGAGGTTCATCTGACCCCGGAGTCTTCGCCGGAGCTCACCAAGAAGTCGTGGTTCGGTAGCCTGATGACCACGGAAAAGGACGAGACCTTCACCATCCTGGTGAAGGGCAAACCGCTGGCCACCGTCAAGGCTGACCTCATCCACGCCTTCCTCTCGGTGAGTCGTCTTCTGCGCAGTTTTCTGATGCGTCAGACTCTTTAAATTATCTTTTTTAATAACATAATCGTGAGCACTAATGGAAAGTACAGTTTCTGTGGTCCCGCGATGAAGGTTTTTAAGTCAAAAATCTTAGTTTGGGGAAAATAAAGGTAAGATTATTGAGCCGCTGTTGATGAGTGGTATGAGTCTATATTACCCAACGCTTTTTTGTTGGTAAAGAGGCAACATTTTAATTTGGTCGTTTTACTAAAATAAAATATAGATACTTAAGTAGTAGCTTCCGTACTGAACCAAATTTCGCCAAAAATTGACGTAAGAACTTTCACCCCGTGACCACAGATTTAAGGGCTTGGGAGCAGATAGTCCTATACCACCTTTTGTCAAAAATTGAAATATTGTCGCTGCCCTAAGTCTTCCAGTTTGTCACAGTAAGAAATATTAAATTTTCATAACAAAAGGAATTTCATTGATTCATTGCAGTAATAGTTTCTTTATAATATTCCATTTAGCCTTATAACTCAATGTCAGTCTGAAATGGTATAGGTCTATCGGTCCGGCGCTCTTCAATTATGAAAGCTAATGCTGTTGTGTTACTCTAATATAACCGATATTAAAACAACTATAGAGAGTGAGAATGACAGAATACTGAATATTTCTGTGTCATTTAATACAAATATACAGCACACATAACATTTTCAAAACAACGTCACAAAGCAAACAGAATGCAGTCGTCTCGCTTAGCGATGTTAGGCAACCACCAGAGACCTTTGAAGAGTTTCCAACGACTTACGTATGCCTCACTGGCAAAAGCAAGTAATCGAATTTCTTTAATTTATATTAAGTTGAAAGCGGAACGACACTTATGTAGTTTAAAATGCATAAAACACTTGTTCGAGTTGCTCGGCAGGCACCAAATTTGAAATGCTCCCGATCTTGTCAAATTGGTCCCGTAGACATTCGTAATTCAGAAAAATGATCAGAAGAATTTCCTTTGCATCTGCTCAGAATCGGAATATTCTTTGAGACACACGCTGTTTATATGTGATATTAGTTATTGTAAAAGTTATTTATAAAGTTATTTACTTATTATTAATTATTTATAAAGTTATTTTATGGTTAACCAAATGCATAAACGAATTATTTGTTGTTATCGATATTAAATTGGAATGAAGACATTCTATTTGTAAAAATAAAATTCGATGTGAAAGGGGAAATAGCAACACAAAATGTCTTGTTAGCGGAATTTTAGTATATTTAATCCTGCTGTAATTTTAACTTATTATTTTTTATTCATAATGTTCTATTTTGATGGTTTGTATTTATCTTTTGATAACAACAAATCTGCATTGTCTAAGTGGAGTTAATTTTCTAAAAGTGATTATTTTCCCCTAAGGGTTTAATGTTAGTTATTTCAATTAATGTACTTCCAAATGACTTAATAACTTAAAAATAACTAATAAAAATAGGTGAATATTAAATTTTTTATTAATTACTCGTATATCGTTAGAGTAATAATTCAATTATTGAAAACATTTTTAGTTTATTACTGAACACTTAATTATGGGTTCAAAATCTGCTTCCACGTTATCTTTTTTCGTTCCAACTGCAGAACAGAATGACATGAAAGATTGAAATGAAAAGCAATTCATGAATAAAGATGCCCAGCTATTACGTTTTATTGATGTTATCTAAATCTTTTTTCGATAATGTTGCCGCAGAATCGTGAAGCTTGAATTACTTAATATGATCGCTGGCCCACTTTGAAAATGTATGTACGAAATTTAAAAACGTTCAGACACATTTTCGGGTTTTGAAAGAAATGGTTTCTTCCATTGAACGCGTTTTATTATGGTACACGTTCCATAGGTTTCCGCTTAAGATCGCCGATAAAATGAAGCTAATGTCATTGTTAAAAATCGCTTTGATTCCCGTTTTTGTTTAATTTGCTAGAACTTTGTGTTTCATAAAAACTCCTCGTATTCAAATATCAAATCCTGTAAATGTTGTAGGATTTATTTCATTGATTCATTTTTCATTTTTCTTATTCATTTTTCATTTTTATTTTTATTTTGCTTATTTATTATATCTTATTTATTTTTAATTTCCCACAATGGAGCTACGAAACATTAAAAATATTTGTTGCATAATATCGTTATGGTAATTATTTAATATTTAATTACTTTTGCAAAATATTGTCAATAGACCTACATAAGTCAGCTTTCAGTAATACATTGTAGACGTGAATCAAACTTTTTGTTAAAATATTTTGACTATTTCTACGAATTTGAGTAAATATTACTGTTTTTACAACTAATATTGAAAACTTTCTTTCAGCCAGATCGTAATTACAAGGTATCAGAATCAATTTACAAACTTATAGGACGTGTATATGGGTGGAAATGATCACACTCAAATCTTGCACTTGTCCCTAATTTTTAGGCAGCACCGCATGCACAGATGTTAAGACGATATATATCTTTGATCTGCTATCAGAAAAGTAACTGCCCGAATAATTCTCACATTAAGGAGTTGCCTAAAATTTGGGAAAATGTCAAGTAGGTAATTTCAGTTATATGAAATTTCCCGCTATACGTGTATCATAAATGGCTCGTCTTTCGCGTCCCTTGTATATTTATTTATCTGATATCCTGGCAATATATATTGACGTTATAAAGAAGTTGCTCTCCTCTAATGCAGTGTTGTTTCTACTTCTGCTCAATGTTAATATACATCAGAATAATGTAAGTTGCTAGCTAGATATTATTAACTCATATTTAACGTGTGTGAGACAGAAAAGAATCCCTTTACGGGTGTTTTTGTACACTTAGACAAGCGTTATACAATGCCTACGAAAAGATGTCTGGAAGACTGTATTGTTAAAAAGGCATTCACAAGTGTGTTGATTATTTCGTTTGGCGGTCCGAGTGCTGAATCACGTACAGTTTCCTGTGGCGGCTGTATTACTATATTGTTCAAAGTGGTACATAATTGGAAGGTTCTGGATCTCAGGATTTACAGATATTTAAATGACCAGTAGAGGATATTTGTTTTCATATTGATTTTAATGTCAATGCTCGTAACAAATTTTGTTTTCAGCGTAACATTCGTTTCGTTAACGTTTAGCTTTGGAGTACAATATTATATTTGCAGCTTTAATTCAGCATTATTCAGAGTTCAGACCCTAATAAATTTAATAGGCTTCTGCTTCCTTATTTTACTTACTTCACGGAGTGACTAAATTATGGATCTGCACCGTAGCGATTATCTGATATTCGGTTTAAGTTAGAACAGGAAAACATTTATGAAACAATTTATGAAACAATGATTTGGCGTAGAATGAAAATACATCAGAAGAGGGCTCATATTTGTAAAGGATCGAAACGTTGAGATTGTATGATAAAACAATTCACTTACGTTATTGTACAGATTTGTTTAATTTTTTTATTTAAATAAATGTCTGGTCTTTGTTCTGTATGTCATATTCTAAATATATGGTTGTCTGCAGAATAATTTATAAAACCTCTTAGGTCATGTAGAGAATCAGAAAAATTGTCAGTCTTTTCGCTTTCGGAATTTCTAAAACGACCGTTATACAGGATGGAACTTTGCCCCTGATGGGTTAGAACTTTCAACTTGTGCATTAGTGTGCGGCCGGTACTATTGTTCTGACTTCAGTCACGGCGATTCAGTCTGTACATGTGCTAACATTCAGTGCAAACGGGGTTGTCAAACGATCAATGTTATTATACAACTATGTTACACAACATTGTTTCACCTACTTCTTCATTGCACAAAACTGCTCTTGTTCAATCGTCTCTACAGACCCTTATCAAATCTGTATTTATTCTGAGAACTATTACGTTTGAGGCAATGGGGCAAGTCTGATGGCCTGGGCCTCACCACAAAATAAGACATCTTTGAATTGAATCGAATTGTACGCTGTTTGACGACTTGAGCCTCGCTTTATCAAATAAAGCATCATTGAATTGAATTCAATGGTACGGTGACACTCTGATGCCCTGATCCTCGCCTCGTAAAACAAAAGCATGATTGAATTGAAGTGAAGTGAGTTGAATCTCATCATTGAATTAAATTCAATGGTTCGCTGACAGTCTGATGACCTGATCCTCGCCTCGAATACAAAAGCATGATTGAATTGAAGTGGATTGAATGGCAGTGTGACGTATGCGCTTGCGCCGTTTCAGATCGCGGAGCTGTCGCACAGCGTGGCCAGCCCCATGTCGTTCCGCGTGGAGTACAAGCGCGGTTCGACGGCGCCGGCCGTGTTTCAGCGCCAGGTGCGCTTCCAGGTGGACGTGGCGGCGGTGTCGAAGCCGCCCGGCGCGCCCGCCTCCCCCTCCCCGCATGCGCTGTCACCGCTAGCGCCCCACGACGGCCCCAAGGAGTACCTCTACGCCGTCACCTTCACCCTGCTCTCCGGTGAGTTTTCCGCACGAGGCGGCTGGTCGCGCGTCGTTTGGCGGGAGGGCGCCTCGGAGCCGCTTGGGTTTCTTCAACCCGTGGAAGAAAAACTATTCATACGCGGCTCTAACGAGGACCCTCAACAGCATTCCAGCAGGCGTCGCAGCTTGTTAGACGCGTTTAACTCGGTGATGAAAATTGATATTCCCCAAATCGATCTGGAGGAAGTCGCTCAGCCAGTGCAACCTCGACGTCTGGAAGGAGCTCCTCGCTTAGATCATGCTATGGGGAATATTCATAAACTTTAAATCCCCAAAGTTATTTATTTTAACACAGAAGTTTAATACACAAATTGGCAGCATGGTGCATTTCGCGTTTATTTAATTGTTGAATACACACGTTTTATTTTACAGCGTTTCGATATTTTACTCCAGTATATCTTTGTCACATTATTCGTATATTTTCCAAGTTCAGATACATATGTTAACATGTATGTTATCTCATAACAGCGTAAAAATTGGAATAAACTGTCGAAACGTTGTAAAATGAAACGAAAATATTAGGTGTTCAGAAATGAAATAAATTTGAAATATATTAATTTCTTTATGAAAACTCTACTATCGTAAAATAATTTTAGGACTTAAAGTTTATAGTCAAAATTCAGTACATAGTATAAAAAATTGGGGATTTGGGAGCATGCTGCATTTCACAGTCACGTGTTGATTACTTTTTTTGTTCGTGGGATGTCGTTCAGGTAAATGTATTCTAGTTTCGCAATAATTAGGATTGTATTTTTTCCATTATCAGGTTTATTATTCCAGATTCTACTTTCAATACTAACAAATAAAAGAACTGAATGCAAGGAAGCATTAGTGAATTTACTATTAAAGTTTCTTTACACGATATGAAAATACTTTAAATATCAAAGTTTAAAAAAAGCAAAATATGTGCTTTACTACAGATGATTCCTCGCAAGGTATTGTGCCAGATATGTTGTCTAGAAGTCTGTGCACCTTTCCTCCAAAAAAAATGCTCAATAATAAAATATAAATCTGGGAGTGTGTGGTTTCCCACTCTTTTCTTAAAAAGTAAGTACAACCCATACACTACGAAGCATAAAAGAGGAAGTGGTTCTTCGCCCCAGGTTAATCCAGTGTTTTAAGAATATTGTCTTCGAAATCTCTTTTTTCTGCTATTCCTTCCATAAAACGAGTTTTCCCTTGGGAATTTCATTCTCCCCGTCCCGATTCTACGCTTCCACTTCGTTAACTTAAATCGCGAGAACTTAGGCCCGTCATTGGTTTCCGAAACAAGCACTGTAACGAAAAAGGAGTTATTTAATGTAGCAGATGAAACCCCCCGTACGTATTTCCTCCCCCACATTCGTCACCACAAGCCGTTAGACTTAATATTGCATCCGACCCTGTCAGGCTTCTCATCTGACGAAACGGCGGACTTACTTCATAATTTTTATCAGAGTTATTTTGCAATGTTCTTAGACACTTTGGATTGTCCCTTAATACTGCTTATAAGATCATACTTTATTACCATTGCTGCTAGACTATAATGGAAGAAGGAATAAAAAACTAACATGCAACTAGAATTAAATTTGAATATAATAAAACGTATTACAAATAATTAAACCACATGTTATACGTTATACAATTTCATGTAAGCGTCACATGTATGCATTTTGCTTTACAAGGGCTAAATGAGTAAGTTGTATAATTTTTGTTTTGACAACTCAGCCTATTTTTTCAATTATAAAATATTACGTCGGGAAGCTAGAGATATCTGCACAAAATATTATTTCGTAATATCGAATCCTCATTCAAAAATTGTGTAATGCGTGGAATTTAAAAGATTACACTGCAATGAGAATTACTATGAAAAAATTAATCACTTTTAAACGCGCAGATGTGATGTCAAACTGTATCAGTCTTTCCATTTTCAACAAATATCGATAATATCAAATGTTTAATTGCTTTTCCGCTTGCTAATATATTCCTGAGAGAGAAAAATACAACATCAAATGAAACACTTTATTATTTTCATCTATGTATTTCTTTGTCATTTATATTTAATTTTTATAATATTTTCTAATATTATCTTTAGGAATTTCCTAATATTAATTACCTTACGCGTTTGGATAATGTGCGGAAAGAGTCCTAGCTCCCTTTCATTAACCCAAAAGTATATTCATCGAGAATAAATAGAAAAAGTACTAGCACATCGCCCGTGACGAGAAACTGTAAATGGGAGTAAATAGACGTATCAAGAATGTCCACCTCTTGCATTCTGGATTTCACTTGTATTAAAGGGAAACGGTAAATCGAATTCAAATGACACACAATTAGTCTGAAGATACTCAAGATTGGATGTTTTCGTAACCATTAATTATCTCTAAATGTGAGTCCATGTGGATACAACAAACTGTGTGAGGGGGAGGGTGCACTTCCCCTTGCCCGTTGAGATTCCCGCTGGGGCGCACGCTATCTTTGCCCGCGGCCCCTGGCGTCGCAAAGCCGGAGAGGCGGTTGCGTGAGCGTGCGCCGCGCGGGCGGCGCGTGTGCGTGCGCAGGCAACATCCGGCGCTTCCGGCGCGTGTGCGAGCACATCCAGTCGCAGGTGTGCAGCCGGCGGCCGCCGCCGTCGCCGCGCGCCGCGCGCAAGTTCACCACGGAGCTGAGCGAGAGCTCCAGCTGCGGCTCCGACACCTCGGAGCGCCTCTCGCCGCACCCGGGCACCAGACAGGTGAGGCGCCAGGTACGCCCACGCCCATGCCCCCCGCCCGCGCCCTCGCGCCGGGAACAAAGACGTGCGGCTTCTCGTGTCAGTCCGAGCGCCGGGGCGGGAGGGGAGGGAGGGGCCGCGAGGAGAGACGCGACGCGGGCTCTGAGGTAGCGGGGGCGTCGGGCCGACGAAATGTAATGTGTAGGAAGTTGAGGGACATTAAGGAAGCGAGAAGAATAAGGAAAGGAAATGAAGGTATGCGAGGGAGACAGAGAGAGTGTGTGAGATGAGAGGGTGTGAGAGAGAGTGTGTGTGAGAGAGCGTTATGTGAGAGAGAGTGTGTGAAGAGCAGTGTGTGAAGAGGAGTGAAATGTGAGAGCAGAGTGTGTGATAGAGCAGGTGTCCGAGAGAGAGTGTGTGCAGAGAGAGTGTGTGAGAGAGAGTGTGGAGAGAGAGTGTGTGTGAGAGAGAGCTGTGTGAACAGAGTGGGGAGAGCAGAGGTGTGTGAGAGAGTGTGTGAGAGAAGTTGAGTTATGTGAGTGAGAGAGAGAAAAGAAAACGGTAAGAGAGTACGAAATCAGAAGAAAATATTTCTGCAATTATACAGAACGGAAAGAAAATACAAGCTTGAAGAAAGAGCAAATGAGTGAGATAGTGACACGGCAATAAATAAAAAAAAATAAAATGGAGGAGGAGGGAGTAAGCACAGAGAGGAAAAAAAAGGTGGAGGGAGACTTAGCAGAGGCGTGAATAGCGTAGCGAGAAAAAGTAAAAAGTGAAAGAGAAAGAGGACGGAAAGTGAGACGGTTCGGCTGACAAACAGGAGGCATAAATACCGGAACCACGGAGACCGATTGCCAACGGGAGATAATAGTAGGCACCAAAAGCGGGCAGGCTGAGTGAGCGGTCGGGACGCAGGCGAGAGAGAGCGGAAGAGGTTGCGCCAGGCGAGACGGAAGCAGAGTAGCCTCCGCGGCAGGGCGAAACGACGGTGCAGATGGGCGGGGGCGCCTGTCACGTTAGCCCGAAGCGCTGAGAGGCGCGTGGGTGTGATGTGGCTGTGATGTGGGCGTGGCGGGGCGGGCATGGATCGTGGGCGGTGCGGAGGGCGGGCGGGGCAGGGGCGTTGGGCCAGGCGGGGCGGGGCAGGGGTGGGGGCGTGGCGGGACGGGGAGGAGGGGCGGGGGCGAGGGCACGGGGCATGGCGTAGGGCGTACCTGCGCCTCACCTGTCTGGTGCGGGTGCGGCCGAGAGCCGCTCCGAGGTGTCGGAAGCCGCACGCTGGAGCTCCTCGCTCAGCTCCGTGCGTAAACTTGGCCGCGACGGCGCGCCGGCGACCGGCGGCCGGCCGGCTGCACCACCTGTCGACTGGATGCTGCTCGCAACACGCCCGGAGCGCCGGATGTTGCCTGCGCACGCACACGCGCCGCCCGCGCGGCGCACGCTCACGCTAACCGCCTCTCCGGCTTTGCGACGCCAGGGCCGCGGGCAAAGATAGCGCCGGCCTCGGCCGGAATCTCAACGGGCAAGGGAAGCCATCCTCCCCTCACACAGTTTTGTTGTATCCAGATTGACTTCACATCTTAGAGATAATTAATGCGTTATGAAAACCATCCAATCTTGAGTATGCTTCAGACTAATGTGTTAATTGAATTCGATTACCGTTTCCATTTAATACAAGGAAATCAAGAATGTAAGAGGTAGACACTTGATACGTCTATTATCCCATTACTGTTTCTCTCATGGGCGAGTCTAGTATCTTTTTTTCTATTTATTCCGATGAATATACATTGGGTTAATGAAAGGAGCAAGGACTCTTTCCGACACTTATCCAAATGCGTAAAGTAATCATATTAGGAATCCTAAAATAATATCTAGGGCAAATATTATAAAAAAATAAATTATAAATGACAAAGAGAATACATTGAGAAAATGATAAAGTTGTTCAAGTTTGATGGCTACTTTCTCCTTCAAAATATATAGCAGGCGGAACAGCCAATTAAACATTGGATGTATATCGATATTTGCAGAAATGGAAATATTGATACAGTTGACATCACACTATACGGTTTAAAAGTGATTAATTTATTCATAGTAATTCTCATTGCAGTGAATCTTTTAACTTCTAGCAGTTACATAACTTTTTGAATGTGGATTCCGATTTATTTCGAAAATAATTATTTGTGCAAATACCTCTAGCTTTCGACATTATATTTTAAATTGAAAAAATTACTGAGGTGTCAAAACAAAATTTATGCAACGTACTCATTAGGCCTTTGTAAAGCAAAAACGCATACATGGAATTGTATAACTTATAACATTCTGATTTATTAATTTGAATATGTTTTTATTATATTCAAAATTTAAAATCTATTCCTGATTTGCCATGTTAGTTTTTTCATTCTTCTCCATATAGATCTTAGCAGAAATCGGCTAAGTAAAGTATGAATATTATAAGCCAAGTGTGTTAAGGGACAATTCAAAGTGTAAGAACATTGGCAAAAATAACCTCTGATAAAAATTATGAATCAAGTCCGCCGTTTCGTCTCAGATGAGAAGCTGACAAGGTCCGGGCAGTATGAAGTCTAAACGGCTAGTGATCGCATGTAGGATGAAATACGTACATTAAGGGGTGGTTCATCTGCTAGTGTATAAAACTCCTTTTTCATTACCAGTGCTTGTTTCGGAAACCAGTGAAGGGCCTACGTCTCGCGTATTAAGTAAGGAAGCGTAGATGCGGGACGAAAGAATTCAAGGAAAACCCGTTAATTATGGAAGAATGCAGAAAAAAGAGATTCGAAGACAATATTCTCAAAACACTGTAATTACCGGGGGCGAAGAACTCACTTACCTCTTTATGCAGTCTAAGTATAGGTTGTAACTTACTTTAAGAAAAAGAGTGGGAAACCAAACACTTCCGATTATAGTATATTTATTATTGCAGCAATGAATAATGTTCTTTAGAGAAAGTGACAGACTTCTAAGCACAACGATATCTGACCACAACAATTACCTGCTAGGAATCATCTGTAGTAAGCAAATATTTTGTACATTTATATTAATATTTAACTTGATATTTAAGTATTTTCATATCGATGAAAAACTTTCACCAGAAATAGTTAATTCACTAATGCTTCCTTGGCATTCAGTTCTGTATATTAATGTTAGTATTGAAAGTAGAACTCTGGAATAATAAAACCATGATAATAGAGAGAGAGAAAAAATAACAATGCCTATTATGCGAAACTAGAAAACAATTTACCTGAACGACATCCCACGAACAAAAAAGTAATCAACACCTGGACTGTGAAATAGCCAGCATGCTCCCAAATCCCCAATATGTTATGACTATGTACTGAATTTTAGACATAAACTTAGTCCTAAAATTTATTTCTTACGATAGTAGATTTCATAAAGGAATAAATATATTTCAAATTTTATTTCAATTTCTGAACCCTATATTTTCGTTTACATTATACAACGTTTCGACAAGTTTATTCATTATTATCTGTTATGACGATAAACATACAATAAGTAACATAGGATATCCTGAACTTGGAAAATATACGATAATGTGACAAATGATACTGGAGTAAATATCGAAAACAGCTGTAAAATAAACGTGAGGTATTCAACAAATTACAATAAACGCGAAAAAAATGCACCATGCTGGCCAATTGTGTTATAAACATTCTAGTTAAAATAACATAACTTTGGGAAAATTTCAACCAGTATATGAATATTTCCCACAAGCATGATCTAACGGAGAGCTCCTTCCAGACGTCGAGGTGCTGCTGAGCGACTTCGCTCCAGATCGAATTTGCGGAATATATTATTTCATCACGAGATGAAAACGCGTACTAACAAGCTGCGACGCCTGCTGGAATAAGCTGTGGGGTCCTCGTCTAGGAGCCGCGTGATGAATAGTTTTTCTTGCCACGGTAAGAAACCCAAGCCGACTCCGAGACCGCCTCCCGCCACGACAGCCGGAGCGACCAGCCGGTCGTGCGAAAACCACGAGGAAGGTTGAAGGTGCGGCGTAGAGACTCTTGGGCCGTCGTGGGGCCTAGGCTGACAGCGCATGCGGGAGGGAGGCGAGCGCGCAGGCGGCTCGACACCGCCGACACTCCACCTGGAAGCGCACCTGGCGCATGGAAAACGCCGGCGCGTCACCGCAGTTGCTACTCACGACGAACACATGGGCGGCACCGTACGACAGCCGCGATCTGAACGACGCTAGAAGGCGGCATACGGTCACGGCACGTGCCATTCAAAGTCCACTGTCAAGGTAGTTCAATCACGGCGTTGTATTCGAGGCGAGGATCAAGGTCATCGACTTCAGCGAACCCATTGAAATCAATTCAATGATGAGATTCAACTCACTTCCACTCAATTCAGATCATGCTCTGTTTTACGAGGCAGAGATCAGGGAATTAGCGATGTCACCGTACCATGAATGATTCAATGATGCTTTTATGATAAATCGAAGAGCTCAAGGTCGTCAAAACAGCGTACCATTCGATTCAATTTCAAAGATGATCTTATTTTTGTTAGGAGGCCCAGCCATCACGTCTGCCCCATGCCTCAAACGTAATAGTTCTCAGAATAAATACAGATTTGATAAGGGTCTGTAGAGACGATTGAACAAGAGCAGTTTTGTGCAATGAAGAAGTAGGTGAAACAATGTTGTGTAACATAGTTGTATAATAACATTGATCGTTTGACAACCCCGTTTGCACTGAATGTTAGCACATGTACAGACTGAATCGCCGTGACTGAAGTCAGAACAATAGTACCGGCCGCACACTAATGCACAAGTTGAAAGTTCTAACCCATCAGGGGCAAAGTTCCATCCTGTATAACGGTCGTTTTAGAAATTCCGAAAGCGAAAAGACTGACAATTTTTCTGATTCTCTACATGACCTAAGAGGTTTTATAAATTATTCTGCAGACAACCATATATTTAGAATATGACATACAGAACAAAGACCAGACATTTATTTAAATAAAAAAATTAAACA